ACAGTGACGCGGACCTTGAAAACCTACGGGATCACATAATGTTCCCAGCTGAAAAAGGAGGAATACTAAATGCTATGGCACAAGGAGAACCAATAATGTCTCAAGGAATTTCTCTCTCACATCTCTCAGATGAAAATTCGATTCAGAAGATTACAGAAAATACATGGAACAAAATTTGGGGAAAATTTACTTCCTTCGGCAACGCAAGTGCAGGAATAATCGGAATCTATTTCTGCATTAGAACAGTGAAATTGGTTATAGATACAGTAATACATGGATACGCTATACATACAATCTATGGTTGATCAATACACCTGCTCGCAGCCTTTTGGGACTCAGTTACAAATTTAATCATACATCTCTCTCAAAAACCCAAAAAAAGGAAAGCATCTCAAGAGGAAGCAGCTGAAAAATTAACTACAGAGGAAGAGTCAAACCTGCCTAAGGAAATCACGAATCGAGAAGGAAGTACCGAAATTTCTACTGATCAAAATTATATTGTTAGATCCACAATTATAAATGTTTAAGTACCTCTCGTAATTACCTTTTATAATTACCTCTTATAATTAGCAACACTTATATGTATTTTTTTTTCTTCTCCTCTTTTCTCTCTATCTTTTTTTTTTAAAAAAGCATGCGCGGTGCATATTAAATGCACCACGCATGACTTAAAGGGGGAAGTGTTACATCCCGCTAAAAACCTCTCTTTCTTCATTATAATAAATATATGATTCATACATTTTCTTTATTCTATTTCTAGTTTGGTATTTCGTCTTAGTCAGACATTTGGTATCTATTGTATCTATATTTCGTAACTGTCCCTTTTATAGAAGGGCCTATCTTAATTTATAAACATTCAAACAACAGATGGCTCACGCTCGCGTACCCTTATGCGTCACGTAGATAAAGAATATCTATTTTATAATCTTTTTTCCTTCGAGGGCCTTTTTCTAGAAAAATGTTAAACAATAGCATATATGCCTAATAATTAAGTAGTAATATACGGTAAAAATTAAGACCTTTCCGAATGTGGGATGAATATCTTTTATTTTTCCTTTTCTTTCTTTATCTCTTATTCTTAACGAAACTAAAATCCAAGAGTCATAATCAATATATAAAGTTATAAAATATTTTAACCCAATTTAAAATATACAACATTGATATAATTTAGAACATGTCACATTTCGCCTCGCATAAGGATATTAGTTAAGGAAGATCGAACTTTTATAAATTATTAAAACTCTCGTCTACTAAGATAAGACTAGACTCGTAGTGCCGGGAGCAGGGCTTACGCGGAGCGCTGCTCCCTTATTGTAAGAAAACAAGCGCGAGCATAGGTTCCATCAAATTCTAAAGAGTCCTGATTGGTCCTGAAAGGACACTCCCACGTTCATTTTTGAGTATAAAAGAGCTGCGAAAAACAGGAAAATTGTCAGTTGTTAGACGAAAATTCATCTTTATTCCATTAACTAGTCAGTTGTCAGCCAGTCGTCAGAAGAAAACTATCACTATTTTCTAGTTGGAACTATCCTCGCGCTTTGCATTTAGACACAGGTTTTTTTCCTTTTGTGTCATTTATTTTTCCTTTTTGTCTAATAAACAGAATATAAAAGCTAGTGAGCCGAAACCGAAATCTCAACTCTGCGTTTCGTTTAGTAATATATGAATATCCGAGGGGTTTCTAAGACTGTCGCTGCCAATAGTGTGGCCCCTGTCCTAAGCATTTTCTCGGAACATTCACGAATTATACTTAGAGGACTGTATTGTGACTGTCGCTGCCAATGGCGTGGCCCCAGTCTTAGACATTTTTCGAGGAAAATAGACAATTCTCTCGCGTTGCTTCCATGCCTTCAAAAGGTGGACGAAGACAAAAGGAGAAAAGATTAAGGTTCCAAATCAAAACAGCCATCATTAAAAATCACGATCCTTTTCCTTATTTCGAAAAACTAGCGCGTCTACTAAATCAAAGTAAGCCATTAGATCCATCTCCCGAACGCGAATATATCCTCAACCTATTAGAAATTAACCTCACCTTTCCCAACTATAAAACCATCCAGAAAGGCGATCTACGCAGGCTCGCCTACGAACTTCGCGAACTCTTTGGGACCGGGTTCAAAATCACCCTTCCTAAAAATTATCCTACCCTTCCTACTGAACATCCTTAATCGCACATCCTGACCTCCAATCCCAGGGTAAATTGCTTAAATGCATTGAACCAAAAACAGGAGAAAATTTCTAAAACCACAACGTTCCGTAACAGTGTCAACCATTGCCCTACGCGAATTTCCAATGGGTCGAAGACGTCGCGAACTTTGACGCGAACGCGATCGCTCCGGATTCGCCTACCGGGTACATTCTCGAGGTAGATCTCAAGTATCTACAACATCTTCACGATGCGCACGCTGACCTACCATTCTGCCCGACGCGCGATAGCCGCCCGGCAAGCGCGAGGATAAACTGCTCGCGACTCTGTACTATAAACAGCGTTACGTCATCCATTACCGTAACCTTCAGCAATGTATACATCACGCGTAACGAAGATCCATCGCGTGTTACAATTCGCTCAATCCGCCTGGCTCCGTGATTATATCGAATTGAACACACAATTTAGAACGCGCGCGAAAAATGATTTCGAAAAAAATTTGTACAAATTAATGAACAACGCGGTATTTGGCAAAACGATGGAGAACGTGCGCGATCGCGTCGACGTTAAATTAGTAACTACATGGGACGGGCGGTATGGCGCGGAGGCATTGATCGCGAAATTGAATTTCCACAGCCGCAGCGTCTTTGCGGAAAACTTGGTAGCGGTCGAATTGCGTAAACTCGAGATAAAATTCGACAAGCCGATTTAAGTAGGTATGTGCATACTCGTCACTCGACATATCTAAAGTCTGCTTGTACGAATTTCACGAGTACATGGTACCTATGTTTAAGGAAAAATGTAAAATTATATCGTTGTACATCGTCATATACAGACATATTGACGATGAAATTTGATCAATGCGATTTCTGTGATATAATTGATTTTATGTCTTTTGTCGACCAACTTGAGACATACTCAATTTTGAACTAATGTACATACTTTCACCTGAAGAAGTGATAGTTTTACCTCAGATTGGTTGTATATTACATACTGCGGGACAACATCATTGTTTGCAACTCTGAGTAATTTTTAATTTTATATTGTATTTGTCGCTGATGATGATCCGAAACTAAGGATCGAAACGTTCGACATGGTATCTACATATGTTATAGATTTTAAGATTGTATATTTTGCGCAATGCTAACAGCGTTGACTCTTAATAGCCTTTGATGTATTTACTTAATTTTTTGTATGTAAAATTATGGGTGCTTTCCGAAATTTGCTGATAATGCTGGCAGTACCACTACTGAAATCACTACATTTTAACCGGTCCGAAATTCGCAGTAGAACTGACAGCAGTTAAAATCGGAACGCATTTGCAGTAATAGTGCGTGACATGTATAGAACTTAACCTAATTTATTAAATTTCATAGGATTTCAATATTTCTAATGTAATTCTGTTTTCGTGTTTGTTTCTGCAATATATGAGTACTAGTTTTAACTAAAAGAAGAAAATTCCGTTATTGTGTAACGGCAATTGTAACACCGATTTTGATTGGCATTCAGAATGTCATATGTGTGAAATATTCCGACAGTTCTTCAGATGATGACGATAAATATATTTTAAATATCTTAAATCAAATTTCGAAACGAGGATTATTGATACCAAGAGCACGTATGAAAAATTATATTACACAAGGACTGTCTTAAAATTATAAGTCACGTTTCTGCTAAGGGCCTTATGTATACATATATGCCAGTAGCCATATGCATTACTGAACTTGCACTACCTTCTGAAATTGTGCAAAATCAGCCGGAAGTCAGTAATTCCCTAGGACCTACTTTCTTGAAAAAGATAGTAGTTACAGCAGAGCTGAAACGTGGCTGAACCAATTTTGGAACGAGAAAACAGTATTGTCAGCATTGTCAGCAAATTTCGGAACGCACCCTATGTACACCGACACGGGCAGTCTCATTTATCGCATCGAATGCGACGATGTGTACGCGGCGATGAAACGCGATATCGCTAGATACGAGCGACTATCCTGCGAACAACGCGTAAGATATGCCTCTCGCGAATAAGAAGGTGCCCGGCCTGATGAAGGACGAAAACAACGGCGCGATAATGACCGAGTTCGTTGGACTCAGAGCGAAGATGTACGCGTTGCGCGTAGACGGGAAGAAAGACACGAAGAAGGCAAAGGGTGTAAAGAGCAGCGTCGTAGCGCGAACGATAACGTTCGACGATTACACCCGATGCTTGAACGAGGTGATTGAAATGACGCGCAGGCAGTCGTGTATAAGGTCGAAGTTACACCAAGTGTACACGGTGTCGGAGAAGAAAATCGCTCTGAGTCCGTACGACGACAAACGGTACGTCGTACCGGACTCAACGGAGATGTTACCGTGGGGACATTATCGGATACTATTATAATATACTAAATATAGTATAGTTTGCGATTTTTATATATGTATTTTTAGACTTTAATTTTTATATGTATTCCTTTATACTTTAATTTTATATGTATTTTTAGACTTAGCATTTTTATATGTTTCTTTTTTATTCTTTACATTTTTATATATATACAGTTTATATACCTTGTATTTTATATTTTTTTTAAACATTAAAGTACTTTTTAGTTTATACGGATTCTATATATTAATGTACTTTTTTATATGTATGTATGACTTTTATATTCAGTTTTATATCTATTACTATTATATTATAGTTATACGTAATTCTACTTTTTTTTTTACATTCATTATACTAGCGTTATATGTATGTATCTTATAATACTTAATTCTTATAGGTATTTGTTAAAAATAATTACATGTATGTGAAAGAATAAATAAAGAATAACAATGATATTCTTATACTTTTATACATTTTTCATATGAATAAAAAAAAATTAATTCAAACGACATCTTGTTTATTTATCCACGAATTGTGCGATCCATCGAATCCCAGCCACTTGATGTACACCTTGTCTCCTTTCTTACGCAACATCTTTGCAACTAGATATACATTGGGATTAGCGACGCGAAGCAACTCGTGCTCGTAGAATCCTCCAGCGACCGGTTTTCCGCGGTAATCTGCCAGAAGATACGTCACGGGATTAGTTTTCTGTACTTTGACGATTCAAAACACCTCCGTGGTCCAACTTGGCGTGTAACCCTTCTCAAAAATCGTCTTGTATTTGCTCACGCGTACAGCGTCACCCACTTCGAATTTTGCGGGACCAGCGATCTTTATCGCATTGTATACCGTACCCAAGAGTCTTTCGGCGATAGCGGGAGTTACGTCAGAAGGTCGCATACCGATAGTTCGATGCTTTCGCGTGTTGTACTCTGACACGAGACGTGGTAGCAAGTCGATCCATTTATAATTGCCATTGTGCGTAAATTGTTTCCACATGTCGTTTTTCAACGTGAAATTGAACCGTTCGACGACCGATGCCTTCATTACGGAATACGTTGAATAATGATTTATGTTGCGCTCCTTCAAGAGTTTTTGTACGTTTGCGTTGTAAAATTCTTTTCCTATATCGGTTTGCAAGTTTTTCGGACATCTTCCATCACCTCAAATTATTTTTGCGATCGCTGTAGTCATCTCATTTCCACTGTTGGTTTTGAACGGTAAGGCCCATGCGTGCTTACTCAACACATCAATCACGGTGAGAATGTAGTGATATCCTTTGTTGAATCGTGTATAAGGGCGCATCTCAACCACATCAGCCTGCCACAGGTCATCGTATTCTCGTACTATGACACGTCTGTGTGGAAAATTTTTTCTCGCTGGAGCATGCAATTCTACCAATCGCCACTTTTCGAGATTTTTCTTCTCAGACACTTTTTTTTCTTTTTTTTTATTTCATTCTTGGTATAATGCGTAAAATGTCACAAAGATCTTACGCAAACGTTGTTGACCGATACTTCAGTGTCGACTAAAAGACGACTGCATACCCCATTTCAATTTATAATAAGCCCAGCTTCACGAAGTTCCTCGATAAATAAAATTTCGTTATCGTGAGCGTTGTGACCCGCTTGACGTGAAGCCTCGAGCAATTGGAGGCGATCTACGAGCTCGTTAGGATTGTCCCAATGAACATAATCGATTTTATTGTCGTTTAGTGTCATCTCGAGTGATACACACCCTTTCCAACTCTTTTACCTGACTTGTCGTTTAGGTTTCTGGCGCATGGTATACCTGTTCCAATTTGTATTTTAGCTGATACTATGGATGCTACTATATCCTTATATTCGTACCCTTTGTTACCCAATATTAGATTATCCGCATAATGGCTGCGTCTATGAGCATTTGTTGCCATCAGTATACTTTTATACGCTAGTTTGTCATTCTCTGTGTAAATAACGTCATCGGGAATTCTTTTAAAAATTAATTAGTACAATCCAGGTGTACCTTTTGTACTTTACATCATCTATGATCACAAAGTCATTCTATATCGAACCGTTTGTCACCGAGTATCGTGCCGTTCTCGTTGAGATATACGCCATAAACGTGAGCGATCGCCTTTTCTTTGTCACTGTCGAGAAGCATGTTTACGTATTTTTGTCCAAGTGTTCCCAATTGATTATTTAACTCCTCACGAAATTGTCGCGTTTGCAAAGATTTAACTAATGTTTCAAGCGGTTCATTCGGCGTTTCATAAACGTCTTCGACTGCGGGTACGTGCGAACGTTCGTACGATAATTTACGCGGTTCAAACGATGCATAACTGGATGAATCCGATGTAACGTTCGATTCTTTCGTACGTTGCTTTGACGGTGTTAATTGAAGCCATGCATTATCCATCCAGTAATTATCATCATCATCAACATCTTCTTCAAATTTTCTTTTCTTAGTATTTTTATACTTCGTAACGTTGACTTCTTTCTTAATCGGTTGAGATTCCTCGCCAGCAGTGTTCTCGACAATCTGTTTTAGAGGTTCGACGCTAGGCTTAAAGTGTTTCTCCAATGCTATATCTTCGTCTATTTTACCTGTTTTTAAAGCGCTTTTTACGAATCGAATCACTCGTTTTCGCGATTTGTTTCGCTATTCTCTCGCGATTCTTGAGCTCTGTGCTGCTATCCATGTTGCACTTGCGCGGGAGGACGTTGCGTAGTTGACGTATCGACAACGACTAACCATGTTACGGTATCGCAAACTCGTTAAATTCTCTTCTGTACCTCCCTTTTGTAAGCGCACTGTCCTTGTCTATAACTACGAATCCATACTTTTGTTGCCAACATTTGCGACACAACGCGCAAAATTCGTCGTACGACATGTCGGTATTCACGTGATCGTTGTAAACGTGTTTCAAGTTGGTACCATCCTGCTTGAACAGAATCAGCAGATTCGCGTTGTCGCGAATCAGATGTTTAGGTATCCTCGCGTACGTCTGACAGAGATAGAAGCAGTCGACATCAGCGTGTCGATCCATCGCAAAGTACTCTTTAATCATGTCTTGCTTGTCGCATGCAACGTCATCAAAGACAAAAATGGAATTTGGAAGCGTCTCGTTCGGTGGAACGACATCGCTGTTGTTGGAGAACGTAAAGTAACCGATTTCATCAATGGACGTCAACAAATTTTCAAGATATTTGTACTTTGGCTGTTGCAGTTATTTCGAGTAGACGTACACGTTCTCGAAACGTACGCCGTTGGGGCTCTCGAGCAAGCTTATCAGCACGTTCGTTTTGCCGCAGTTTGACGGGCCGCAAACGATTGCGCGTATAGTATTCGGCAGCATTTCACCGTGCTTGCGCTTATTCGCGTCGTCCCGCATCATTTGCAACTTCTCGTCGCAATTCATGACGCGTATCGTCAGTGGAGACTACACAAATTTCATGTTCGCATTACAAACTACTCGCAGTCTTGAACGCCTATTTATAGGCGCGCGAATCCACAAATCGGGCAGTAGCAAAATGTATTTCGCGCTGTACCAGGTATATGCATATGAAAGTGGATTTTTTTTATAGAAAATACACGTTTATTGCATGAAAATGATAAAAAATATTTTATTCGAAGTATTTCCCATCGCTAGCTATACATTTTTGCCACCTGTCTGACAATTTGTGGATGCCACGCCAAAAAAATTGTTTCTTTTTTTAGCCAAACCAATCATCTTGCCATTTTCGTACATCTTCGTAAGAAGTGAAGCGCTGCTGAGCAAGTGCGTGTCCCATTGATGCAAATAAGTAGTAATCGGATGGAGCCAAGTCTGGTGAGCAAGTCGCATGCGAAAATATTTCCCAACCAAACGCCTCAATAGTTTCCTTGACCAGTTTTGCTGTGTGTAATGGTGCATTATCATGAAGCAAAATCACTTTGTGTTGGCTTTTTTGATATTCCGGTTGTTTTTCACGCAAAGTTTGATTCAAATTGATCATTTGTTGTCGGTAACGTTCAGTATTAACGGTTTCGCCAGGTTTTAGCAGGTTTTAGCAGATTTCGATGGTTTTCCACGTTCTTCGTTTCTCACGTCAAAATCGCCACTATTAAATTTTTTAAACCAATAAAAGTACTGTGATTTACCAAGAGCATGCTCACCGTAAGCTTCGACAAGCATTCGATGCAATTCTGCAGCAGTTTTCTTCAAATGGTAACGGAAAATCAATTGCTGTCGGCGAATCTGGAGACACGGTAGTGTTTCGGCGCTAAGCCAAGCGCGCGACACTGCCGTGCCTCCTTTACGCGACACGGAGAATTTTTCGGGGTCGAGATGATCAGATCTCAGTAACGGCTGAACTGATCAAGTTCTACATACGCTCAATCGACAGGAAATACTTAAATTGTATGATAAAAGTGCTTTCATTTTTTTTCTACGTGCCCTACGAGCGGAGATATCGCGACGTAAAGTGCGGATCTGTGAATTTTCACGTTTTATTTTTAAGATACGTCGTCATTGTCATCATCGTCGACCAGAGAAAATGTCCATCTCGTTTTTTCAACAATAGAGGGCCTTCGACTTTATGTGTATCTCACTCTATCTATCATCTCACTCTATCTATCATCTCACTCTATCTATCATCTCATTCTATCTATCATCTCACTCTATCTATCATCTCACTCTATCTATCTATATGTAACCAGAGACCAGTGTTGCATGCTGTATCACATATGACGCGCGCGCGATATAACTCTTATAATTAAAAATATTATTCAATATAATATAAAATATTTATTATTATATATATAAATATAAAAATTGAAATATCGAATTATAGAGATATGTACGTCGTCGAGAAAGTATAAGTGTCTACGTGTTTGATTTCGAGGAAGTGAGTGTCTAGGTGTTCGCCTTCGAGGAAGTGAGTGTCTACGTGTTCGTCTTCGAGGAAGTGAGTGTCCAGGTGTTCGCCTTCGAGGAAGTGAGTGTCTAGGTGTTCGCCGTCGAGGAAATGGATGTTTAGGTGTTCGCCGTCGAGGAAGTGGGTGTCTACGTGTTTGCCTTCGAGGAAGTGAGTGTCTAGGTGTTCGCCGTCGAGGAAGTAGGTGTCTACGTGTTCGCTTTCGAGGAAGAGAGTGTCTAACATAAGTGTTCGCCTTCGAGGAAGAAAGTGTCTAAGTGTTCGCCTTCGAGGAAGTAAGTGTCTAGGTGTTTGCCGTCAAAAAAATGGGTTTGTTTGTAAGAAACGTCGTCGTCATCGTCGTCATTATTGCCAGCTACGGAGTGAGGAAATGCATTCTGGAATTTTTGGCACAAGAGATAAATGTGGTCGCGACAATATCGATCGCTGCGATCTGTACGATCATTGAATTCGAATTATTAAGTATCTCGGCATCTCGGCAATAACAAATGATTGAGGTTAGAAACTCTGTCACATCGATGGCATAGACAAATATGGAAGTGAGATTAGAATAAATTCGGTCTCTGCGATCTGTACGATCGTTAAAGTCGGATAAAGAGTCTCGGTAATAACAAAGGATTGAGGTTAGGGAATCTGTCACATTGATGGCATAAAATAGACGAACACGTAAGTGCAGAGGTTAGATATTTTCTGCTTTATTACACAAATTCTCTGCTGTAATTCCGCTGTAAGAATATCTACAAATTATTTTCTATATAATTATATTCTTTGTACAACAGCATTTGGTTAGGTTATTTATTTACCGAGACACTACCGTGTCTCCAGATCTGTTATTTATTTGTTTGGTAGATACCTTAGTTTGTATTCTCTATTCCTTATATAATTATAAAAGAATTGATTCTTTGTACTTTGTTTATAGGAAAAGTCTGAAAAGAAAAAAGGTATGGATTTAAAAGATTATTGACTTTTCTTTTCAGGACTTTCCCTTCAATAAACCTGAAGATAAAATACAGCACATACAATCAATTCTCTTATAATAATAAAGATAAAACTTATTTGATACAGTTACTCAAAATATAAAATTACTTGGTTTTAGTATTGAAATCTTTAAAACTTCAAATAATTATCTAACAATGAAATATATTATCATGGAAAGTAACTGATATATTATTGAAGGTGCCAGTTCAAAATGAACATTCTATCTCTGCGATCTGTACGATCGTTAAAGTCAAATAAAGAGTCTCGGCAATAACAAAGGATTGAGGTTAGGTATAACATTATACCAAAAAAATCTATTACATATAATCAAATACGCTAATTGTTACGTCCGTGTTTTATAGAGAAAAGTAACGTTATCGACCTAAGACTATTGACTTGTTATCGACCTAAGACGATTGCAAGTCGCCACCGATTACTGACAGGAGCGCTGCAACGTTTTCAATGCGCAAGGAAACTCAAGAAAAATGTACGATTACGATTCGAACATGGCGGCGTAACACAAGTCATTGTAATCCTGCAATAAAGAAAATAAGTGAAGAAGAGTCAAATAATCGCATATCTTCTCATTAAACATTGGTCCTTCGAGCCGGATTCTCATCGAATCACGAAGAATCTGGAAAAGGCAAGGTATAAACATATACCTCGAAAAATACACGGATCTGAGATCTCTCATTGAATCACGAGGAATCCGAAAGGACGAGGTATAAACATATATCTCAAGAAGTAGTACATGCATACACGGATCCATCGACAGCGGAAGCTCGAGGTCACCGTGAGACAGAGGCGCGCATTGAGGCTCGGCAGCGACAGCGGCACGCAGGTATCTACGAACGGTAGAAGTCGCGCGGTCGTGACAGTTGCAGTCATCCAGACAACGAGTCATCACAGCAGTCACAGTTATCGATGCGTAATTACAACGAAATTATTATACGATAGCCGTCCAGTGTATTAGCATTTGTCGTTTTTTTGGTCGTAATTGTAATCAAGCATAGCGATAATGGCGGATGCAAGCAAGTTAGTGAAAACACGCGGCAAAATAAAGGGGCAGTTGACGCGCGTGCGCAATTGGCTGAGGGTTTTCGATGTACAAACCCATCAAATCGAAGAAGTTGAGATTAGGTTAACTATGTTACAACGTGCGTGGGATGAATTTCACGTGACTCAAGACGCGCTGGAGGAAGTAAATGCGGAATTCGAGAACGATGGCGAGCGGGAATCGTTCGAATCGGATTATTACGCGACAGCCGGGGCTGCGAGAGCGCTAATAGCAGAACGCGAACGAACAAGGGTCAGACGAGAAAATCGCAATCTCAATGACCAAGGTACAGGCAATGCGGCGAATGCAGTAGATAAAATAAAGTTACCTCCGATAAATGTACCTACATTCAATGGAACTTACGATCAATGGCCGAATTTTCGAGACACATTTAAGGCGGTTATTGACGAAAACGAGGCATTGTCAGATATCAAAAAACTTTATTACTTGCGGTTAGCATTAAAGGGTGTAGCAGCGGAAGTATTAGAGTCAATGGAGATGTCGGCTGACAATTATGATGTCGCATGGGACCTGCTTAAGAATCGATTCGAAAATAAGCGCGTTTTGGTTCATCATCACGTTCAGGCATTGATTGAATTTCCAGTTACGCAAAAGGAGTCACAGTCTAATTTGCGTCAATTATTGGATCACACGGAAAAGCATGTCCGTGCATTAAAAAAGCTTGGAGAACCGACGGACACGTGGGGTACCATTCTGGTTCATTTAATGACAGCGAAATTCGACAATGTCACAAAGCGTGAATGGGAGACCAAAACGTCTTCTAGGGAGGTCGCGACATACACTCAATTTATTGAATTTACTACGAATCGGTGTATTATGTTAGAAGCATTGCAGATTGATAAATTAAAATCAACAAAGGTTTCATCTGTTATCGGCGACAAGTCAGCAAATGCAAATAAAAAGACGGTTGCTGCCCCGGTAGCGGAGGTATCGAATAAATGCTCAATATGTAAGGAAGGGAAACACAGGATATATCACTGTCCTACCTTTCTCAACTGGACTCCTCAAGCAAGGAGCAAGGAAATCAAAGGGCTCAAATTATGCTTTAATTGTTTCAAGAAAGGTCATAGTATTGAAGCATGCAATTTCACTACTTGTCGCATGTGTCACAAAAAACATAATACATTGTTACATGTTTCTAGCGGCGAAGATACGAAAGAGAAGAGCCAAACTGAAAGCTCCTCAATTAATTCAATGGTGTCATCAGAGCAATCATCTACGAGCGTAACACATTATGCTGCACGACAATGCGATCGTGGATTGCTAGCCACGGCAATCGTTGAAGTGCAGGACAACGAAGGCAATTTTCAGGAATGTCGTGCATTTTTGGATCCAGGTTTACAGTCAAATTTCATGACAAAGGAACTTTGTGAACGTCTATGTTTACGTCAACAAAAAAATTATATGCAAATTCGTGGCATTGACGGCACACAAACCATCGCTCTCACCGAAACTTATGCTACGATACGGTCAAGAATCAATGCATTCAAGGTCAAACTCGGATTCTCAGTACTACCAAAAATTACGATGAATCTTTCCTTGACGGAAATTAATAAACGACATTTGCAAATACCAAGCTCAATCACTTTGGCAGATCCATCCTTCCATACTCCAGGACAAGTCGACTTGCTTCTTGGTAGCACCATATTCTGGGAACTCCTTTGCGTTGGCCAAATCAAGCTAGGAAAAAATCAACCAGTGGCACAAAAAACTAAATTTGGATGGATCATAGCTGGACCCATAACCTTCGAATCCAACAACATGTCGATTGTTTCCGCTAGTATGTCGTTTTACAGTGAAAAAATCGAAGATCAACTGGAACGTTTCTGGAAGGTAGAGGAGAGTGCTATTTGTCCAGGGCTAACTGAGAATAACGAAGAATACGAAAATGAGTTTGTGCAAACACATCGTCGCAACAAGGACGGACGCTTCGAGATACGGCTGCCTTTAAGTGATAGCATAGAACGATTGGGACATTCACGCGATATCGCGATCAAGCGGTTGAAGAGTATGGAACGAAAATTCGCCAGATCTTCAGATCTACGACATCGATACAACGAATTTATGCAAGAATATGAACGAGTCGGTCACATGACCGAAATCAAAAGTAACGATAATTCTGAATCGTCTTTATATTTACCTCACCATGCAGTATTGAGGGAAGACAAGTCAACCACAAAACTCCGAGTCGTCTTTGACGCATCATGTCCTACATCGACCGGAGTAGCACTGAACGATATACTACGTGCAGGGCCTACAATTCAACAAGAATTAACGTCCATACTGCTCAGATTTCGTCAGCATAGATTTGTAATCACGGTTGATATCAAACAAATGTATCGCCAAATACTTATCCAAGAAGATCAACGAGATCTGCAGCGAATCGTGTGGAGACAAGATTCAAACGAGCCAATACGAGATTTTCGTCTCAATACGGTTACGTACGGAGTAACCAGTGCGCCCTTTCTAGCTGTTCGATGTTTGCATCAGCTCGCAATTAAATATCAAGATCAGTATCCGGACACTAGTAATGTCATACTCAATGATTTTTACGTGGACGATCTTTTATCTGGTGGAGATGATGTACACACCTTACAGCGAATCAAGCATGAGTTAACCGAAATACTACATTCAGCAGGCTTTCAACTTCACAAGTGGAACACTAATGAATCAAGAGAGCGAGAAGCGTCTTCAGAAGTCAAGTCACTGCCAATTGGAGACGAGATAAAAACTCTAGGAGTTTGTTGGAACATTACAGACGACTGTTTCCAGTACAAAACTCAAGCCATCAAAGATAATCAACTAAGCGAATTGTATTGTCGACCGTTTCTCAAATTTATGATCCGTTAGGATTGCGTTGTCCGACAATCACTCGAGCGAAAATTATACTCCAACAATTATGGCAGTTGAAAGTGGATTGGGATGAATCTCTTCCACTTCATTTGCATACTACTTGGATGCAGTACAAAAAACAAATGGATGAGATGAGTCTAATTTCGGTTCCGAGACATGTAATGTGCGATCAACCTCAACGCATCGAACTCCACGGATTCTGCGATGCGTCAGAAGCAGCTTACGGGGCATGCATCTACATACGAAGCTTCAGTCAGTCGAGGCAAGTAGTATCGAGACTACTATGTGCAAAATCCAGAGTGGCACCGCTCAAGAACCTCACATTGCCTCGGCTTGAGTTGTGTGGAGCAGTTTTGCTGGCTCAACTCGGGTGGACCGTACAACAAGCATTATCCGTTCAATTTGATCATATCCAGTACTGGAGTGACTCAACAATAGTGCTCTCTTGGATCAACCACAATTCTAGAGAGTTACAAACGTTCGTAGCCAACAGAGTTTCAACCATTCAACAACTAATATCAGGAGTTCAATGGGCACATGTTCGGTCAAAGGAAAATCCCGCAGACCTCATATCGCGAGGAACAACGCCTCAGAATCTCAAAAATCTAAACTTGTGGTGGTCCGGACCAGATTGGCTCTTGGAAGATTGTCAGGATTGGCCGGCTGAAACTTATACAAAGGTATCTCCAATTCCAGAATTAAAGAAACAAACAGTAATCGCTTACTGTGACTCATCGAGCCGCGAAATCTTCACGAGATTTTCATCGCTTTCACGATTGAAGAGAGTCACAGCTTATTGCATGCGATTCAAAAATAATACATTGATGAAGCAAACACGAAAAACAGGGCACCTGTCCATTGAGGAATTGAACAATGCCATGCTGGTATTGATACGAATGGTTCAAGCAGTCGAATTCGCGACTGAGTTATCCGACCTCCAAGAAAATCGGGCAGTACAGGGAAAAAGCAAACTCATCGCGTTAAACCCTTTCATTGACAAGACAAAAATTATCCGCGTCGGGGGTAGATTACGTCATTCCGATCTTGATTTCTCAAAGCAACACCCGATAGTGTTACCAGCGAATCATCCGTTGACTGAACTAATTATTCGAGATTGTCACCTTAAGCATATGCATGTTGGACCTCAAGGTCTACTAACTCATTTACGTAGCATGTATTGGCCATTATCGGGGCGGAGGGTAATCCGACTAGTATTACGAAAGTGCGTAGCATGCTTCCGCGTACGTCCGAAAAGTCAAACTCAATTAATGGGAGATCTACCCAAGGAGCGTGTCACGCCGGCCCGAGCGTTTATCAATTCCGGAGTAGATTACGCCGGACCATTTTCTATTAAACTATCGCGAAATAAAACCGGAAAGGCGTATCTATGTATATTTGTATGTCTCACAACAAAAGCGACGCATTTAGAAATAGTCAGCGATTTGACTACCACTGCATTCCTCAATGCATTAAAGCGATTCGTAGCGAGATGAGGTCGATGCGCAAATTTGTTTTTCGACAACGGCACCAATTTCGTAGGTGCAAGCAATCAGCTTCGGGAATTGACGAAAATGATAAGTAATGATCATGTCGACCGATTTTTAACAGAGCAAGCAATGCAATGGCATTTTATACCTGCTAACTCGCCTCATATGGGCGGGATATGGGAAGCGGCCGTACGTTCAGCAAAAACACACATGAAGCGTGTTGTCGGCAACAATTTATTAACATTCGAAGAACTTAGTACCATCTTTGCACAAATTGAGGCCGTACTAAATTCGCAACCGTTATGTCCTCTTTCAAACGATCCTCAGGATTATGAAGTGCTTACACCGGGACATTTTATCATCGGCGAACAAATTAACTCCTTCCCAGAGCCCGACTTAACAGAAATATCTACAAACAGGTTAACACGATTTCAATTGTTGTCGCAGATGCGTCAAAACTTCTGGAAACGTTGGGTCAGCGAGTACTTAACGCAACTTCAGAATCGGTACAAGTGGCAGAAACCAAATTATGATAATATTAAGATCGGTACGTTAGTGCTATTAAAAGACAATGACCTTCCACCCTTGAAGTGGCGCATGGCGAGAATAATTGAACTCCATACTGGCTCCGACGGCAATGTCCGTGTTGTTAGTGTACAAACACCTACGGGAGTTACGAAGCGTACCATTCACAAAATTTGTGTGCTTCCTACCGAGGATTAAGCAAGTTTTTTTTTCTTTCTTTTTATCGTCTATTATATCGGCGTTTTTAATTTAAATTAAATTTAAGTGTTTATTCGAGCATAATAAAGTTTTAAGTCTATGCGTTATGTTGATAGTTATTAAGTTATCCATTGTATGTGATACATGTCAGTATGTAATAGTGCTCATAATTATTAGCGAATAAGTTAAAAGGCTAAGCCTCTCAAGGCCGGCAGGATGTTACGTCCGTGTTTTATAGAGGAAAGTAACGTTATCGACCTAAGACTATTGACTTGTTATCGACCTAAGACGATTGATGAGAGCGCCACCGATTACTGACAGGAGCGCTGCAACGTTTTCAATGCGCAAGGAAACTCAAGAAAAATGTACGATTACGATTCGAACATGGCGGCGTAACACAAGTCATTGTAATCCTGCAATAAAGAAAATAAGTGAAGAAGAGTCAAATAATCGCATATCTTCTCATTAAACACTAATAAAAACGTAATTTTTGAAAAAAATGATTGAATGATTGAAATTATTTATATATTTTGCAGATACACAATTTAGAAGTAATTGATCAAAATGGTGTTCAATTGGGAGGAGGAAATACCATAAAACGATAATAATACAAAGATATTAGAGAAATCCGAGTACATTGAAAGTTCTTGATGCCAGTGCTAAAATGTTGGATGTGACTAGTGCAAAGCTTGTCGACAATAATGTTGCTCTAAATAAAAGTGGTGTCAAAATAGTTGACAACAACGCAGTAGTACATTACAATAATAAAAGTACATGAATTTCTCAAGGTAATGCAATACAACTGACAATTTCGACGTTAGAAAACAAACTGATATATGATTGAAGGTGCCAGTTCAAAGTGAACATTCATAAAATGTATATCCTTTAGTTGCGTATATACGTAATAATAATTTAACAACACATGCACACTAGATGTTTATAATAGTAATATTAAATCATAGAGATAGTAGTACTAGAGTACGCATTGTCGGAAATTTGAGGAGTGGTGGTAATTCTATCTAGAAAAGGACGCACTCATTTGGAACTGTTTCGTTCTCTCTCGTTTCGCGCATGCGTATAGTCGTATACTCTGAGAGAGGGGATCGAAAGAAAGGGCGGAATCCATAAACGTTGCTTAAGATTCAAACTGGTCTTGAGCTAGTGCTTAAGACCATAATTAATTCATAGATATTGCTTAAGACCAAGTCTGAAGCTAAGGGCGGAATACATAGACGTTGCTTAAGATCTGTCTTGAGATAGTCTTCGTCAAGATCGACTTAGGGTCCAAAACTAGCTTAAGAATGCCTTACATGCATAAATGTATCTTGAAAACTCGAGTTTGAGCTTGAGACTGCCTTAACAAAGCTCATGCTTAAGTACTCGGCTTCGTCAGGCTTTGTTAAGGCAGTCTTAAGTTTAAACTCGAGTTCTCCAACATCGGAAACATTCGGGATTCTCTAGAATCTGTCCAATGACAATTTATTTACAAGTATAATACGTAACGCGCGGAATTATATCGGATTTGGAAAAGCAAGTATTCTTTGATATTCTAAAAGACTATAAACATGTGATTGAATCAAAAGGTACAAATTCCTCTACATTGAAAGAAAAAGCAGAGGCTTGGTTCACTATTACGAAGACATACAATGATTCATCTTTAATTTGTACTAAGATATTAAATTTATTTTCCTATTTTTACACTATATATGATTATACATATACATATATATTTTTAATAAGCAATGTTTTTATAGTGTTTTTATGTCTTTATGTTTTTCTAATTTAAAACAGCAAACTAAGAATATATTAACAACTGAAAGGCAATCAAGATTTCTCACTGGAGGAGGATCAGAAAAAAATGTAGACGAAGTTGATCCAAACATTTTAGATATTGTTCTATAATGTGCGCTTATCTAAAATGTATAATAAATAATTAATATCTTAATTGTAAATATTATAGATTTAAAAGTTATATTATATAAGTATATTGTATATGTTTATAATACACATTATATATAATTAACTTGAAACTACTTATGATCAAGTGTAAAAATATATAAATCAAATGCCTAGTCACAGAGTCTCAATAAGAAATATGTTCGGACAAAGTATTGAACTATACTAAAAATTTCTTATTGTTTGAATGTGAGGTATTTTTAGGTTAGTTCACTCAATGACAGATATACAAATATTTGTAGTAATTCTACCATAATTATATGCTTTTCCGTTTCCTTTTCTCTAAAAATATGAAAAAATAAATAGAAGAATATTAATACACACACAAATAAAAACTAAATACTATACTTTTTATTTCAAGACCGTCTTAAGTCCATGATTTACTGGACTCGATAAAGACTAGCTCAAGATCGGGCTTAAGCAATGACTATGCATCTAATAATCTTGAGTCACACTTAAGATTTCACTATGGAATGAGATTTTCTTAGTTAAGCATGGTCCCAAGTCTTAAGCGGGGAGCACAGATTTTTGCATAACGCATAATACATATACATAAAGAATTTGATTGGTCCATTGACTCATGCATAAAAAATGGGCCAATGAAATTCCTTATGCACATGCTTTATGCATTATGCAAAAGTCTGTGCTCCCCGCTTTAGCTTCAGACTTGGTCTTAAGCAATATCTATGAATCAATTGTGGTCTTAAGCACTAATTCAAGACCAGTTTGAATCTTAAGCAACGTCTATGGATTCTGCCCTTTCTTTCGATCCCCTCTCTCAGAGTATATGGCTATACGCATGCGCGAAACGAGAGAGAACGAAAAGGCCCAAATTAAAGACCTATAATGAAAGATGCGCCAACTGTCCCCCACCACTACTTCTGTCCGACATCTTGTACCCATACGTAACCTAACCCTTTCGTAATGATCATGTCAACAAAGTGGAGTTGGAGTATCAGAAGAAGAATCAGAGATGTTGCAAACTCTACAGAGGGAATGTACGATCGCATCCGAAATCATCAGATATTTGAAATTGAAAAATAAAATACTTAAGAGCATTAAAATAATCCTACGAAATGAATCGAATGAAAAAGGCAATACATTTGATGGAACATATGATTGAATATAACAAATAAAAAAATAATTATACATGTTTATATATTTGAATATTGATGATTAATAAAATTTTCATATATTTGAGCAATTAGTGTCATTTTTAGCTTTAAATTTTATTTGAATCTAAACATTGAATGTTAAAATATTTAGAATAAAATAAATGTACTTAGTTAGGAATAATCACGAAGTACTAAACTCAAATTGAATTTTGACTGTGTAGTATATATCTAGTTGTTCGTGGTTGTTTGAATCGCTGCTTCGATCTCGACTGAGATCTCAAATGACGGAATGGATTTGTGGACTGGAAGATTGAGACCACTGAGTCCTCTTTTAACTTGTTGTATGCAAGCTTTATTCACAAGTAAACGAAGTGTTAGTCGCGTGGCACGGCGAGAGAGACGATTAACTGCTGTTAATACGCCGAGACTCATACACGACGGTAGCCGTGATGAGACGTACAAAAGTAACGAGTCGCGGTAGCGAACACGTAGAAAGAAAGCTGCTGCTTTCAACGAGTAATTGAGAGCACGACTTGACACGGCAAGTACTGAATTGTGTCTGAGGGGAGAATCGCGCTGCGCGATTAGCGCGACGAATCGGCAGGACGACAGCGACATCGGTATCCAAATATGCGGCTAAATTGTAGTAATGATATTCGCAAGATGGCGCGGTGAGTGCGACGAAAGATTCGGACAGAATCGATGGATGGCGCAATCGATCCTTTATTCGGCTTTTGTAGCGCGAAACTTATCCTATTCCGGAACATACCGCCCGCCTCGGCTAGACTAGCCGAAACACGATTATTCGATGCCGCCCGCCGTGCCAATCGAGTTTAAAACTATATGATACATGACGCTTTACACTTACTTAGATTTAGAAAGATATGAAACATACATAGAAATATTTACATAGAGAGGTATACGAGAATATGAACTTATTATACAGTAAGTTCGAGCGAACGGAGTTCGATCAATGAATGCCACGAAAGGAAATCGATCATGTGGACGTTTCGTTTAAATCAACGGGTAAGAAACATAGTTTCACTATGGAACGTTTATACGTCGATTTTGACGTTTTCACAGTGACGACGCGCGTTAGTCCGTCGTCTCCGGTGTGGCATTCAATGATACGACCGAGTTCCCACTTGCACGGTGGTGCAAGGGGATCGCGCAAAAGAACTAGGCGTCCGACTCGGGCGAGTTTTTGAGCGACGCGCCATTTTGAGCGCTGTTGTAATCCGGTTAAATAATCATTTGACCATGCTTTCCAAATAACTTCGCTTTTTTGCTGCACGAGTTGCCAGCGAGTCAGGCGCGTTTCTTTTGTTTCTAGTAGCGTAGGAGATGGCGGCGTTGTGAGAGCGCTACCAATTAAGAAATGACCCGGTGTCAGACATGAATAATCATCAAGATTATCTGACATCGGAGCTATCGGACGTGAGTTGAGGCACGCTTCGATTTGATAGAGCAGCGTCGTAAGCTCTTCGAATGTCAGCGTGTGTGAACCGATAACGCGTTTGAGATGATATTTGACGCTGCGAACGCCGGCTTCCCATAGGCCTCCGAAGTGAGGCGCGGAAGGGGGAATGAAGTGCCAACGGACACCGTCGCACGACAGTTTGCTTCGCAAGTTTGAATCTTGTTTTGCTGCATGAATTGCAGCTTTCAATTCGCGATCAGCTCCGCGAAAATTCTTTGCGTTATCGGAATATAAATCGGTCGGCATCCCGCGCCGAGAGCAGAAGCGCGCGTATGCTGCGAGAAACGCGGCGGTAGTATAATCGCTGACTAAATCGAGATGTATTGCGCGCGTCGTCATACAGACGAATACGGCAATGTAGGCCTTCTGAGATTTGTATCCACGGCCTGAATTTAATCTGACAGGAACGGGCCCGGCATAGTCAAGTCCGCAATGTAAGAATGCGCGATCGACTTGTCGAATGCGCATTGCCGGGAGATCGCCCATGAGTTCACTGGGGATAACCGCCTTTTCGCGCGTGCAAGTAATGCAACGATACAAGACGGCTCGCACAGTTTGACGAGCGCGAAGAATCCAAAATTCTTCGCGTAAAACACATAATGTTAGTTGCGTGCCCGCGTGGAGCGAACGCAGATGAGCGTGTTGAATTATCAACGTAACGAGTGGATGTGCTGCTAGAATGAGAGGACATTTAGCGTTATATGAAAGGTCGGATTTTCGTAATCGACCGCCTACGCGAATTAAATCATCGTCATCCAAGAATGGATTAAGTGAGATTAGTTTGCTAGTTTTCGCTACGGGTTTCGAATTTTTTAATCGACGCACATCATCGAGAAAAAGATTTTGTTGAATGACGCGTAACCAAAATAGTCGCGCGTGTTTGTATTCGTCCACCGAAATTATATCGGATGGAATAGAATCGGATTCGTCGTTTGACGACCGCTTTTTGTATATACGATTTCGAAGCTTATTAATAAAGCGGATTAGATAGGCCGTTATGCGAAGAAGCTTCGGCCATGAAGAATAGCGGGAAGCTAAGTCCCATTGAGATTCGATATCGAGAGTTTGTACGACGAGGGTCGAACGTTTTTCGAGCGAGGTGTCGTGATCTTGCCGAGATTCATTCGGCCACATACTTGAAGGAAGCTTGAGCCACTCGGGGCCTTGCCACCACAGTGAGCTCTCCGCGAACGAGGAAGCGGTAACTCCGCGTGATGCTAGATCCGCGGGATTCTGATGAGTCGGAACATGATGCCACGTGGCATCAGGTATTAGAGTTTGCACATCGTGCACTCGATGCGCGACAAACGTTTTCCATCGAGATGGAGATTGGCGTAGCCAAGAGAGAGTGACGGTTGAATCCGTCCAGCAATGACATGGAATTGTCGAAAGTTCTAATGTCGTTCTGGCAAACGACATTGTTCGTGCTAAAAGCGCAGCAGCGCATAGTTCGAGTCTTGGAATTGTCAAGGGCTTAAGAGGCGCGACTTTTGATTTTGCTATTAATAGCGAAACAGTAACTGATCCCATGAGCGAGATCACTTTAAGATATATGACAGCGGCGTATGCGACGGACGATGCGTCAGCGAAGCCGTGAAGCTCGCAGTGACTTGTGTCGGAACCGAAGGCTGTCCATCGTGGCAAAGAGATATTACGTAGTTTAATTAGCTGCGTGTGATAATTGTGCCATTTTTTCATGAGAGGGGGTGGAATTGGATCATCCCACGAACACTTAGTAGCCCATAATTGTTGCATGATAATTTTAGCAGTAATTATGACCGGAGCAAGCCACCCGAGCGGGTCAAATAATTTTGCTATAGTAGACAGAATTTTCCGTTTAGAATCTGGGATCGACGTGGTAACTTCGACTGAAAATTGGAATGTATCGGTAGCAGAGAGCCACGTGACGCCTAAGACTTTGAAGCTTTCGTCGCTTTGCAGAATTTTGCCTTGACTGAGACTCTTTTCATTGACCGGTAGTTGAGTAACGTAGGGCAGTTGCTTGCCCACTTACGGAGGAGGAATCCACCTTTTTGTAACATTGAAATTAATTGGTTGCGGATTTGCCTTGCAAGCGGCTTATCATCCGCGCCGAAGATGCAATCATCTACATAGATTTGATTGCGTAAAACTGATTGAGCAAGAGGAAATTGAGCGCCTTCGTCTTGCGTCAATTGCTGAATCGTGCGAAGAGCGAGGTATGGAGCACACGCCATACCGTAAGTAACAGTAAGCAAGCGGTAGTCTTGCACCGCTTCGGATGATGAAGAGCGCCATAAGATGCGCTGATAATCTTGATCTCGCGGATCGACTTGAATCTGCCTATACATTTTTGCGATATCGGCAGTGAAAACATAACGATGTTGTCGCCATCGAAGAATTACCGAACGAAGGTCGTTTTGTAACTTAGGACCGATCATGAGATGATCGTTAAGTGAAGAGCCGTTCGATGTCGACTGAGATGCATTGAACACGACGCGCAACCGCGTGGTGCTGCTATGCTCGCGAATCACCGCATGATGCGGGATATAAACTGATTGTAAAGCAGAGACGGGTTCGTCTACTCTCTTCATATGACCGAGATTTTCGTATTCCAGTAGGAACTCTCGATATTCGGATGTGATATCCCTTTTATTTTGAAGACGGCCTTCAAGCCGTGAAAGAAGTGATGAGGCGATGTGACGAGATTCGCCTATTGCTATCGGAGGATTGGCTTTGAACGGTAGCCGTACGACGTACCGTCCATTAGAGTCACGAGAATGAGTTGTTCGGAAATGTTCCTCACAACGTTGTTCCTCAGGAGTGAGGTATGATACTTGCGGAAGTTTTTCGACTTCCCAGAACTGACAAATTTCGTCATCGAGATTGTCGTGCAACGTGGTATGATTAACTGTCACGTTAGACATATTTGAAGACGAACTCGTCGAAATCGGACCAGACATGATCCAGCCGAAAATGGAATTCTG